TATGTTGCGTAGACAGCTATTGATAAATTCTTGTACCTTCTTGACGATGGTTGTTGTAGTTCTCCACGTTTCAGCTCCGTACATTGGTTAAAGGTCAAAAGAAGCCATACATTAATGAATTTTACGATGTTATATATTAAAAATGGTGAGCGTTTGCATCTGTTACGACATAAATATTGCAAAATTATGTTGTGTATTTTTTTCTCACGATTGTTTCTTTTTGTTATATTACTATTATATAACTGTAACTTGACACTTAACTCCAAATCATTCTGACCTTTATTAAATGACCTTCCGAATATGTAAATTACACAATTTTGAAGTATATATGTAGTAACAGATGCAAACGTTCACTTTCTTTTTAACAAATAAAATTTTCGAATTCATTAATGCATCGCTTATTTTGGCCTTTGTTAAATATCACAATAATTATGGACTTATAATTGTGGGGTCGGATGATGAATTTATTGAAAACAATTGTTCACTCACATTCTTCTTTTCTGAATATTCTATGGGGATTTTAAAGCTGCTGAATTCACTACTGATTTTAAATTTATCCCATCAACAAATAATATGATTCCTGGCATAATAACTCCTTTCTTTTGATGACAAACTTATCGGGAATGTTAAATACTCAAATCCTCCTAATATCCTTAAATGTATAAGGAGGAAATAGATTGTAAGATGATAAATTGATTTCAAATGACTTTTGTTTAATTAACTTTCATTACACTTTCATATACATAAATTAATTTAGTATGATCCATGGTTCATGTAATAGTGTACAATTTAAAATAATTCTTCGACTAGTGATTACTGAATGTAATTTTGTTCATAATGAACTGAATTCAAGTATGAATCGATCTTATTTTATCTGTATCAGATAAATTTTCCGCACAAGATTTATCGTTTAGAGTATTTGGAGTTGGGAGATAAAGTATTTATGGCATCCTGCTATCGAAGTGTAGTTAGGAGTTATTCTGGACATCAAATTCATATCAGAAATGTACAGATAGTTTAGTCAACACAATTTTGTAAGTCATTTTATGATTATCCGGACACTAAAAATCTTTTTTAATCAATTTCGAAGTAGAGATCTTAGAGATTCACACTTCAACAGTGTAAATACTCTATGTGGCGTATAATGAATATAAACTGCTTCTTTTCATAATGTGATTAATATAATTAAAATGTTTTCTTTCGAGTCAACATAAGCACTCATTATGAGTAATAAATAGTAAAAAATTTGTACTACTTACTTTATATTATTTTCATAAATCTGTACAAATAGAGCTTTCTGAAGGCGATAAATCACGTTTTGGTTAGTATTCAATATTACACACATTTACTATGAATTTTCTCATGCTCACTAGCATTAAGTTCTGTATAGTTTACGTCATTGATCGATATAACACTCAAAATGATTAAATTCTAATTGATAAAAACACTTCATATAATTAAAGAAAAAAGAGATTTTTAAAAATTGTTTAAATTAAAGATATTTTATATTACGGACTAACTTCTTTTACAATATAGTGAAAATTTCCATTTGGACATTTGGTAAATAAAGAAGGAACGAATTGAGCGGAGAAATTTCTTTTCAATTAGTTTTTCATCATGGCTCTACACTAATATATATATATATATATATATATATATATATATATATATATATATATATATATATATGATTTACAATAATGATATAATACTCATTGAGTGGATACGTTACGTAATAATTACATAATGACATTTAAATTAACATCGAGTAGTAATTATTAAATCAAGAAGTTGCTATGTTGCATAATATATGAAAAGAGAAGGAACAGAATTTGTAATGGATGGTCAATAGAATAGTAATTACGTAAGAATCAAGAGATGAATGTTGAGAAATTATAAAGTTTAAAAAAGAAACAAAACAAAACAAAAACAAAATTGAAAACTAAAAAACCCAAATGTGAGAAGTATGGAAAATAGTTCTGTTGAAGGGAATGTTATACCGATGGCCAAGGCAGCAAAAGTGGTTGAACAAATTTCTTTTGAATGCAAAGGTCAGGTTTGTGAACATGGATTGCGATGGCTTCCGCAATGTGCAAAAGGCGCACTCGTAAACCATGTGGTAAATTTGAAGGGATATGGTAGATAACCTTAAAAGCTTTATTCAATTCAACTTGGTGACCTGTGTCAACCAAATGAGCGAGAATAGAACTTCTAATCACTTTTACCTGTCCTTTATTTAGCCACGACGGATTATGTTCTGTAATACGGTGACGAACTTGCCGCATTGTACGCTCTATATAACTGGCTCCACAGGAGCAGTTGAACCGATAGATACACATAAATTTGGCGAATTCAGGCAGTCTGTCTTTACTGGTCGTTCTTATTTTGGGGTAGTTGTAGAAGATAGCATTCAGTTTGGCTGCATTAAATGTTTTTTGTAGAGCTCTTCTTAGTTTCTGAGTCACGATCTCTTCAGTAGTATCATTTATGTATTGTAATTTTATGAATAGTACTTTCTTAGGCGGCACAATATTTCCACACAAATGTATACACAAAGCTACATGGATCTCACCGGACCACACCACAGAGAATCAGATAGATCATATTTGCATCAATAAAAAGTTCCGAAGGACAATGGAAGATATGAGAACCAGGAGAGGAGCGGACATAGCTTCAGATCACCACCTGGTTGTGGCCAATTTAAAACTGAAGCTAAAGAAGAACTGGACAACTTGACAAACAGCGCTGCAAAGGTTCAATACAGCCTTCCTTCGAGATACCGACAAACTCAATGAATTCAAGATAGCTCTCAACAACAGGTTCCAAGCCCTACAGGATCTACTAAAGGGTATCAAAGAAGCATTAACTTCAACGTGTCAAGAGGTTCTGGGTCCCAAGAAACATCATCACAAGGAATGGATCTCTACAGAAACACTGGACAGGATCAAAGAAAGGAAGAACAAGAAGACAGCAATTAACAATAGTCGAACATGAGCAGAGAAAGTCCAAGCACAAGCTGAATACATAGAAGCAAACAAGCAAGTGAAGAAGAGCATTAGAGCCGACAAGCAGAAATACGTGGAAGAACTAGCAACGACGGCGGAAATATGAAACAGCTTTACGATACAACGAAGAAACTAGCAGGGAAATATAGTAAAGCATAGAGACCAGTCAAGGACAAAGAAGGAAGAACAATCACTGAGATTCAGCAACAGTGGAACAGATGGACAAAGTACTTTGAGGAACTACTGAATAAGCCGGCTCCAATGAATCCACCGGACATCGAAGTAGCGCACACAGATCTCCCTATAGATGTCAATCCACCAACGACCGACGAAATCAGAATGGCCATCAGACAAATCAAGAACGGGAAAGCAGCAGGACCCGACAATACATCATCTGAAGCACTGAAGTCAGACATCGAAGTAACTACAAGCATGCTTCATCTTCTATTCAAGAAGATTTGGGAGGAGGAACAAGTGCCGATGGACTGGAAAGAAGGACACCTCATCAAGATTCCAAGGAAAGGAGACCTGAGCAAGTGTGAAAACTACAGAGGCATTAAACTACTGTCAATACCAGGTAAAGTCTTCAACAGAGTGTTACTGAACAGGATGAAAGACACAGTAGACGCTCATCTTCGAGATCAACAAGCTGGATTCCGTAAGGACCGGTCGTGCACAGACCAAATTGTGACACTACAGATCGTCGTCGAACAATCAGTTGAGTGGAACTCGTCACTGTACGTCAACTTCATTGATTATGACAAGGCATTTGACAGTGTAGATGTGAGAACGTTAAGGAAAATTCTTCGACACTACGGAGTTCCTGAGAAGATTGTCAATATTATCCGGAACTCATACGACGGACTACAGTGTGAATTCGTGCATAGAGGACAGCTGACAGATGCATTCCAAGTAAGGATTGGAGTCAGATAAGGCTGTCCACTCTCTTCCTTCCTCTTTCTTCTGGTGGCCGACTGGACTATGAAGACTTCAACATCTGAGGCAAAACACGGAATACAATGGACAGCTCAGAACCAACTAGACAATTTGGACTTTTCAGACGACCTAGCCCACCTATCCAATACACACGAACAAATGCAGATAAAGACAGCCAGTGTAGCGGTAGTCTCTGCATCAGTAGGCCTCAAAATACACAAGGTGAAAACCAAGGTCCTCAAATACAACACGGAGAACAGCAATCCAATCACTCTTGGTGGCGAAACTCTGGAAGACGTGGAATCCTTCACATACCTGGGAAGCATCGTCGATAAACAAGGAGGTTCAGATGCAGACGTCAAGGCGAGGATTGGCAAAGCTAGAGCGGCATTCCTTCAACTGAAGAAGATATGGAACTCAAAACAACTTTCAACCAATATCAAAGTCAGAATCTTTAATACGAACGTCAAGGCAGTTCTACTGTACGGAGCTGAAACTTGGAGAACTACAACAACCACCATCAAGAAGGTACAGGTATTTATTAATAGCTGTCTACGCATGATACTCAACATCCATTGGCCGGATACCATGAGCAACAGCCTTTTGTGGGAGAGAACCAACCAGCTTCCAACTGAAGAGAAAATTATTAAAAGACGATGGAAATGGATAGGAATCATGATGGGAAGAGGAAAAGTGCAAGGCCAAAGAACATATTACGTTGGGAAATAGAAGCAGATATGAAAAGGATAAATGAAAACTGGAAAGAGCTGGAAAGGATTTTCCAGAACAGGGTTGGATAGAGAGTGCTGGTGAGCTGCCTATGCTTCTTCAAGCGGAGTAACAGGCATAAGTAACTAAGGAAGTTTTAAGAGAACAGTACTTGATTCAAGTTACGGAGTAAATGTCAATTCTGTGATGCAAGTACACCTAGCTTACGAGTCCCAAATAGGACAAAACCCGCGTCCTGGTCGCCATTGCAAGCCACTATCCATCTTTGTTTATAAATTCAAATTTTTATTAAGGAACTTCTCTAATCAATATTCTGTTTTTACTCATAAGTTTTGTTCGCTTGGTTATTAAGAAAAATAAATAATTGTGACAAAGTGAACTTAGTTCGGTTAATTACGATACACACGTTTTATAATTCTTTTAACAATATGTAGATAAACTGAACATCATATTCTACTAGTGAATATAATTTGTTTTAAACTTCTAATATTTGTTTACATTAATTGAAATTTCAGATTATTGCATTAAGTTATTACAAAAAAAAACTACATATGTACACACATTACACATGTTACGATATTCAGTATTTCATGTGTTAAATATGAATGAAAATAAAATAAAACACCAATCTCATTCATCATTACCTACAAATAGCATGATGACAATGTCACCAACAGAAATGAATGCATCTTATTTAATCCTTAAAAATGATGATAAAGTTAATGAAATTACTGTTAATCTTCAACGTGAGCTCAATAAAAAATTAACATTGAAACATTTATCAAATGGTTCAGATTTTGTTGATAATTCAAATTTAATAGAATCATCTGGAGTTAGTTTAATTAATGAACCACCTAAACGTCCAATTAAAGGTTATCAATTATTGAAAAAAAAATTTCATTTTACACGTGAAACATTTACCGGTGGTTTAAAAAGAAATAACAGTACTCAAAATGCTAAAACAATAACAAAAACAAATAATCCAATTACCACTACTTCTATTACTACTACTACCAATAATGATAGTACAGTGACTGATGAAAGTAATATCAGTGCTGATAAGATTGGTAATCAAATGAATACTTTTAAATTTGGCAACTTATTAAATACATCTCATGATAATATATCACCAAGAGGACGATCATCTAGTTTCAGTGTTAGATATGAAAATTATGAACCACGTTTATCAATTCAATCAAACAATATTAGAAATAAAAACAATAATCGTTATTATAAAACTAAAAATTCAAAATTGAACGATACTAATAATCATGAACAATCCTTATTATCTAAATCACAATTAAATATAAAACCAACTACTCATTTAGAATGTTTAAGTTTACAGTCAAGTCTTAAACAAAGTCAAATATCTTTATGGGATATGCAAAGAGATTATCCTCGAAATTTTATGACATTAGGTGGTAGTATGCTAGGTGTATCAGATACTGCCAGTATTATTACAGAAGGTATAAATGATCATTATACTGATTTAATTTCAGCATTTCATAAAATCTTAATTGCTGTCGGTGAAAATCCAAATCGTCAAGGTTTGTTAAAAACACCACAAAGAGCTGCTAAATCGATGTTATATTTTACTAAAGGCTATGAAGAACGTGTCAGTGATATACTGAATGGAGCTATATTTGAAGAAAATCATGATGAATTGGTATTAGTTAAAGATATTGAAATGTTTTCAATGTGTGAACATCATATGATACCATTTATTGGACGTGTTTCAATTGGTTATTTACCAAACAAAAAAATTCTAGGTTTAAGTAAACTAGCTCGTATTGTTGAAATATTTTCTCGTAGATTACAAGTACAGGAAAGACTTACCAAAGAAATTGCTACAGCATTGACAGAAGCAATAAATCCTAAAGGTGTTGGTGTAATAATAGAAGCTACACATATGTGCATGGTCATGCGTGGTGTACAAAAGATCAATTCAACCACAATAACAACAACTATGATGGGTGATTTAAAACACAATGTTAAATTACGTGAGGAATTTCTTCAGCTTGCTGGAAGAAGATAATTTACGCTTTGTTATACAAAATTATCATTGAACTAGTTATTTTTTGGCAATGACAGAAACATTCCCAATTATTACTTACATATGTAATGAATCCTAAAATTCAAACATGAACCTCATTTTATTTTTTTTTGTTTTGTGAATATTTAGTAAAACTTGGTTAATTTTTACTTAAATGAATTGATTACAGTATACGTAATGAAAATAGATAAATCAAATGGTTGAAATTAGTAACAAGTTCTCTTTGTTTAACGATAAGACACGTTTACGAGCCACAAATTGTGTACTGGTATTCTTATACTCGGCGTTTTCAGTAAAATTATATTGATATTAATAGTCGAGATCATGAGTAATTCAAAGCTAGACCACCATGGAAAACCTAGAAGCACTGGACTTCCGTTTCATTATTAGTTAATAAATTACCAAGACTTAAGGAGTTTTACCAGTCACATTGACCATAATGAAAACTAGGGTAAGTTGATACCATATTGAAGAGATATTAGTGATCGCTTGAAAATAGTTTGGATTCACATTCCATCGTTCTTTATGTTAGGAATTTACTAATCATTTCGAAGCATTCTAATGATAGTGATATTCTAATTACACTGAAATTAGGATTAGTGTCTTTTACAAGACAAAAAATCGAAGTTATATTTAACACAAAATAATACAATAACAGTCTTTTCTGTTATGTTTTACTGCTAATCTAAAATTATTATGATAGTTTCTACAACATTCGTTTAGTTTTCTATATAAACTTCATACATTGAGAATAAATCCCACTTGTAATCATTGAATATGAATGAATAAAGCTAAATATCGATCGCAGAACTATCCTTCAATATAAACAGCAAAACCACATAAAAAAATATTTAGTGTTAAAAATAGATTTATCGTAAACAAAGATAAATACCATTTAAACATCTTTGGAACAATATGAAACTCTACAAGAATGGATATATTTCTTTGAATATTGTTGATTCATAATATATATATTTTTTATCCTCCTTCAAAACTTTCTGTGTACTGGTATATACATCTTCTTATGTCTCATTGGATTTATGCAAATGAGCAACCTGATTTCTATCAAACATATGATGAAAAACATCAATACATATATATTTTATAAATTCCAACCCCCACCAACCATTTTTTTTTTAATGTATGTAATTACATACAAGTATTTGTATAAGCCGGATATCCTTCATTTAACAATCTTATGCCCTCGTTTCTTATCTTGAAAAGACAAAAGGAACTGTCAGTAAATGAAATCGGTTCAATTTTTTTCATATTTAAGACAAATGCTAATAACGTACATGTAAAATGAAATAAATCTCATGTTCAAAACTTCCGAAATGGGTTAGATTGAAAGCAAGATGTAAATGAAACCAATATATATTATCAAGTAAAGAAATAATGTATAAGAAATTAGTGACTATAAGAGAATGGATTAAATTAAGATTTTAACTCATCAAATATTTCTATTACGATATTAAAAATACAAGAGATTTCCCTCTGGATTATGTGTTGATGATGTACTTTTGGAGGAACAACCATGGATGTGCACTGCTGAGGAGTCCCATACTAGGACGAAACGGCCGTCCCGTGTTCCCAGGTTTTCCATAGTGGTCTAGCTTCAATTGACTCATGAATTCAACTATTAATTTTCTAAAATCTCCACAAAACCCCCTTCTGATAATGAACAATAAACGCTTCACTACCAAATCATCCAGCTCAGCCAAAATAACGCCTCCAACATCCTTATCCTATGCTACAAATATTCCTCACGCTTTCAAAATATTTGTAGTTCTGTGGCCCAAGTATCATCGCAAGTACTTGTTGTTGTTTATATCGTTTGTTGGAACTTTAAACTGTTTCCAAATGATAAGGAATTTACGAGGTGAATTGATTTTTTGAACGAATTAGGCGTATACAAATAAGGTTTCATCAGGTTATACCAAATTTTACCCAATAAAAATCAATGGGAGTTGAAAAAACATATCTGTGTTCTGGAATTAAACATTTCCATTTTTTTAAACATGTTTTAACTGTTAGTTATGTCCATAATTAAAATGAACAATAATAATTTAGTTTAAACGCCCTTCACATTGGTGCAATCTGACCTTGATGTTCCGTGTTTTCATTCAGTTCAGCCTTCTTTTCTTTGACTGAGGGTATTCCCTTTAAATTCCTTTACTAATAACATTCATTTGCGTTCCATAAAAAGATGAATTGTTAATGACCAAGTTTTACTTGTTTTAACTGTGATTGACCCTAGATCTAGGTTTCATAATGGTTGGCACTCACCATTATAGTGTGCGTTCAGTTTTTATAAACTGGTGATCCCAGTGGGGAGGGTCACTCAGTTTCATAATCTGAAGGATTATCACTCAGCTATTCGAAAAGCGACTGTCCTCCTGTAAGGTTATTATAATCCCAATCAATCTGTAACTGAGTAGTGAGTGTTGTGGTCGGTATTCGATATTATCTTCAAGATTCCTATACTCTTCGTCCTGATAACCGTTACTACATAACGCCCTCAACGGTGTATAAATCAGATTATGAATACGAAGCATTGATCACGTTTATTATTGCACCACGCATAGATCACCAAAACCACAGACACACTAAGCAAGAATGAAAGCCTGGTGCCGAAAAGCGAGTGAGTCGAATGAAGAGGATTAAAATGTACATGTATACATACATAGGGAAACGAATGCGTCATCGCATCATTTAAGCGACTAACGCTAAAGTTAGCACAATGAATATGTGCGTAGGCGGTAAGCAATGCTCAAGCGTACATATTCATACGAGCGCATCACTAATATATGTACAATGGTATAGCTGAGTTGTTATTGTTTGAATGACTCGGTCGGTTAACTAAGTTAACAAAAGGGCTTAACCAAATTAAATGTGAACAAACTCAAATGTACGTGAGCTGCTATATGATCAATGCTGTCTTGATCTGTCTGTTATAGTCCTGATCAAATTCTATCTCATCATTTTTAAATCAATAGAAGGGCTTCATTTTTCATTTTACCTAGTGCACTGTCTTCTTTTAAATTGACCAATTAATCGTCTTCTTTTTAAAATATTATTATCGGACCTACAAACTACTATAATACATGCATCCAAGTTAGATTTATTTTAAGTAGTCTTAAGAAAGTTCTTTGATCTTACCCGAGTATTCTTATGCAATATTCCTTTTATTGTCAAACTGTACATTAGCATTTAAATATAGAAAGTAACTAGTGTGTTAGTCTGTAGCCAAAAAAATGTTGTGCTGGGTGGTCGTCCGATTCTGGTACTGATGTATGCGCTTCCTATATGCAAGCCCAACCAGCGACTTGAGTGAGAAGACGAAGAGTGGGTGGGAAGTTTTATTGGTTAATTTGAATTAGAATATAAGCAATAGCTCATTCATTAATATGGGTGTATGTCCGTGAGAAAACGATGGTAGATGTTCGACCGATAGCGTGCAGAGGTCAGCATCATTCACCCGTCATTTGACCATGAACCGATATGTCTGACAGGCCTAATCTATCAATTAGGTATTCTGCTTGAATCATACAATACCAGTAAGATTGTTTATTCTATTAAGATGAGTTATCTAATATTATTTACTCTTATTTGAACGTTTGTTACGATCTCGCCTTACTCTCTCATATTTTGTTTGTTTTAGAATTAGTTTTCTATTGACTTACTATCTAAATAATCCTGCAGGTTTTTTGGCTTGACGTTTCGAGACTAGACATTTTCGTGCTTAACTTATCGGATTTTACTATTCCCTATCGTATCCCCTCTAGATTTTAACAAAGAAATTATACTGTGCTAAGTATAAACTTGGCGATTTTTAAAGTTTATAGGTACCAATTCGGCCTTCCTTATGAATACACAAGTAGAAAGATATCTGAATGCTTTCAAACTGTTAATTAACCTGATTTTATCGTACACTAATGATATCCTTCATGTATAAATTCTTTTTGTATCTTATGGTATAATAAAACGTAAGTACATATGAATTCATTCACGCAAAATCAGGTGTTAAAGTTCACTTGTATTAGGCATTAAAAAATATGTAAGTATTAATCTGACCCTTAATCACTGTGATTGAAAACGAATAGCTCTTTCACAAAACCTTCCATTATTTCAAATGATGATAAAAGACATTATTGATTATTCATGTTCCTTCGCATTTTCCGATGTTTTCTAGCTTAAAGAAACACATAATCATGATGGATGTTTATATGTTGAAGCTGTTTGAAAGACTATTAGAAATTAAGGTAAGGAAAAAGCAAACAATCCAAAATAAATTCATCTGTAAGAATTGTGTAGATCTTCCTGTTGATATCAAGAACTTCAATTGATCAGTCTCCATTGACAACTGTGCATCCTGAGGTGATTGAATTGATATTGACCCTGTATCCTAGGCACTGCTGAGGAGTCTCATAATAGGAAGAAACGGCCGTCCAGTGCTTCCAGGTTTTCCAATGGTGGTCTAACAACAATTGGTTCATGATCTCAATAAAATAACTATGATTATCGATGATTAAGATTCTCGATTTAATATAAGTAACCGTTAATTTTTTGTGCCCCTATATCTGACTCCAGTTTTATCAGATACTGATTGTTATCAAAATATACTCGCCTCAAACCCTCGTATATTTTTATCGACTTAATTCGTGTTAGAAAATAACGCAATAAAAGAAGTCAAATATGAGTATGAATTTTGAATACGTATATTTCATACACTTATTGATCCAGATAGACAAACAGAGAAACGATGTGACGCGCAGTAGAGAAGGTGTACGTGCTAACTCGTTTTTATCAAGCGTGACTCAATATTTATATCCAGACAAAAATAAGTTACAGACACGTAATGAATAGGACGAGCAATTAAGACACGTACGTTCATATAAAAACAGTCATGGTTAATAAGTGTATAATCAACAAGGTCAAAATGTGGTTTAAGGAGAATGAATAGATTGGTCTGTTCAGTGGATAGAAAAACCTATATGGACTTAGCACAGTACCAGCCACTAGAAATTGATACTTCAACTAGTACTTTGACTGAAATACTTTTTTAACCAAGAAGTTTATTATAGACTGATTATAATTTGTTAAGGTTAACGAATACTGATTAGTTGATAAACCCTGAGAAATTTATGTAAAATTGAAATGGCTAGAGTTACATATAATAACTTTAAAATGGGACTATAAAAAACGCTCTCCTTTTAGGTGACCTAGTTTATTCTATGTTTGTATTTATTTATTTGAACTCATGGATATTGGTACAACGGGGCACCAGATACATATGCGCCACACAAATATTATTTGATTTGTATGAGGGTTTTGATACTGCCCGGGTGTCCATACCGAATCAGGATTGTATGTTTGTGGTTTAATATATATAGGTTAAGTGCTCGAGCGCGAGACGGATGGGCCCCGGGTTTCAATCTTGCGAGGCG